TTAATTCCTGAATCCAGGTCACAGGCTCACCCTATTCATACACAGAGACACCCTTAAGACAGGATTTGTGAACAAAGAGACAATGGGGAGGTTTTTCCATTTCCTTCCTCCTTGCAGAGAAATATTTGAGGTGACTGAAAGATTCAAAATGGCTTTAGGACTCTTTTCCTGTACTGTTTCCATACATGTGGTTTATATATTTATGTATGTGTTTGCCTTGTACAGTTATGAACATTTATTTTATATATATAAGACCTTAAAATTCCTCTATCAGAGGAGAAGCAGAGTGGAGTTCATTCCTTCTGGCAAGCTGAAAAGCCTGGCTGATGGAATATTCAACATAGCATGCTGCTGAAGTCTTTCCATACTTACTATCGTTACTTATCCAACAGAATTCAAAAAGAGGAAGGGGTTGTCTTCTTGTGAGTGAAAGACTAATGCTCAAAGGAAATGGCACATTCAAACTATGTCCAAGCACAGGCTGTTTCCAGTAGGGTTTTAGGCCTCAAATATAGACAGCCATTAGTCAGAATGCTTTTGTCAGAATGCTTTGAAAAGATGCAACAGACAGCAATCACATTCATACCTAGCTTGAAAAAAAGATAGAAGGCTATTCAAGATACCCAATTGTATCCATTACAAGATACCCAATTGTAAACATTAATCCAAACAGATTCAACAAAAGGCAATCAAATATAGAAAATTAATTACAAAAACTTCTTTGGAGCTAAGTCCCCTACTAACATCCACACAATATTTCTCATTACAAGGAACAAACAGTTCTAGTCCACACTTGTGTATGCAGGCTGTTCATTCATTTCAAGCTCAGGGAACATCAAAAGCAACTCTGTTTATTTCCAGAAAGGAATGTATCTGAGTCTGAATTCTAGATCACTAAGTTCCTCTTGAAGTGTGTATACAAAAACTTCCTCAAGTGACTCAACAAGGTTATTCATACAAATGAACACATATTATTGTCACAAATCAGTGCTTACGTAGCCAGCGTCTGCCACAAACCAGGCTTTCCCCCCTCCCCGCCTCCAGAGCTTGAAAAGAAAAAAAGAACCCTGTAGCTTTTCCTGCTTTTTATTACCAAAGTAGACAGAATAATTTTAAAAAGGAACTCAATAGGTTGTATTATGCCTTCTTCCACCAGATCTACTTCCACTGATTTGAGGAACATGGATAAAGGTAAAGGTAAAGGTACCCCTGCCCGTACGGGCCAGTCTTGACAGACTCTGGGGTTGTGCGCCCATCTCAGTCAAGAGGCCAGGGGCCAGCGCTGTCCGGAGACACTTCCGGGTCACGTGGCCAGCATGACAAAGCTGCATCTGGCAAGCCAGAGCTGCACACGGAACACCGTTTACCTTCCCGCTAGTAAGCGGTCCCTATTTATCTACTTGCACCCGGGAGTGCTTTCGAACTGCTAGGTTGGCAGGCGCTGGGACCGAACAACAGGAGCGCACCCCGCCGCGGGGATTCGAACTGCCGACCTTTCGGCAAGCCCTAGGCGCTGAGGCTTTTACCCACAGCGCCACCCGCATGGATACAAATCTTCAAAATCTGTAGACTTTGCAAGTGCAACAAAGGAGTAATTGTCCAATACGTAAATGTCCCTTGTTGTGCTAACAATCCCTTCTTGGTGGTTGGGGCTGCCAAAACGTTTTATACCATCATAATTACCTGTGAAGTAGCTACCTGATAGGAATATCTTTTTTATTCCCTGGAATTTTACGCCTTCCCGTGGTGCTCTATTTTCTGAGAGATGTTCTTACTAGCATATGATCCCACCTTAGCTCACAAAAACATTCTTTGGGTATAACCAGAACTTTAAAAGAATATGTTTTATTTGCAATATTTATAAGGAACTAGACTTTAGAAAACTACAGTGGAAACTCGTGTTACGTACTGTCCTCCTTGCGAACGCTTTGGGTTACGAGCTCCGCTAACCCTGAAGTAGATGCTCCCGGTTGCAAAATTTGCCCGGGATGCAAGTGGAAGTCGCGCGCCGTCAGCACAGCAGCAGCAGGCGTCATTATGAGCGGTTTCAACTTAAGAACGGACCTCCTGAACGAATTAATTTCCTAACGGGAGGTACCACTATATTCTGATTCAACAGCTCCCTCTAGTGAATTACAGAAATTATGGCTTCAACTGAGAAGTTTACTTTTCAATATTTCATGTGTGCTTTTTCTGACCACCTTGTTAAGTGACTCCAAGATGGTGGCTTATTTTACAAAGGTCAGCAACTTTTGGAAAACTTTATCTGTGTACCTGAGGCTGCAGTCCAGTACTCACTTGCCTGGGGAAAAGTCTCAATGAAATAAATGGAACTTAAGTCTAAAAAGACATGTATGTCTATTGCACTGAGACTTTGGTTACATACAAACCATACATTTAAAGCACCCCCCTATAAAGCACCCCCCATATATTTCCTACTGGAAATAGTATAGGCCTGGAGAGTTAAGGGCATTCTTTTCAGTATTAAAGTATGTATTTTATTGTTTGTTTGTTTGTTTGTTTGTTAAATATGTATACCTCCCTTCATCCGAAGATCACAGGGCAGCTCACAACATAAAAATACAAAATGAGAATACAAAACACATAATAAAATAAAAACTAACACAAACCAACAACCCCCCTCCCTCCCTCACATATTTTTTATTGAATTAGCAGGGTAGGACTTTTACTGAACTTTCTGATTTGCAATTCTTATAGGAATTTTAAAAAAATTAAAAACTGGAAAGCTGATTAAATCAATGATTCAGGGAAAGACTAGGCGACCCTTGTGGTCCCTTCCAACTCTGCAATTCTATAATTCTATGAAATACTCTATACTCAACAACTGTTGACTATGGGGCCATAGGATTTGGCAGACGCCCCACTACACTGACAGAACACGAGATATTTTGTCACCATGACAGATACACCAGTGGAACACTCCATTGTCTGCTCTCTCAAGTACCCTGGAGTGTGATGTTGCCAGGGTGTTTGAGGCAGTCAAACGGAAGGAGGGAAGGAGGAAGCGGTGGAGAAATGTTAATGAAAATTATTGAGATGCTGCCTGGTAAGGTTGGCTTATTGTGCAAAACAGATGAGGGAGAAGCTTGGTTATGCAAGTTACCACCAGGAGAGAGACAGTCAAAAGGACTGGCCCTTGCAAGAGTCAGGCTATTGGTCCATGAAGGCTTCCCGGAGTTGTATGCTGGATTTAAACCAGAGATCCTCTGCATGCAAAATGTAAGGTGTTCCACCTGGCCAGGGCTCCTTAATGTGATCATGGCATCTTTGAGTAGTTTTTGGGCTGGGAGCAAGAGGGAGCAGGCACCCTTCCCCCTTTTCCCCTGGCGGGTCCTGAATTCCCATCTCCTGCTTCTCAACTCTGTGCATATCTGTATTTCTCATTGTTGATTCTTCATCTGGCCCTTTCCCTTTGGCGGTGTGACCCCCCCCCCAGTCTTTCCCTCCCTGGGTGGGATCAGAATCCTAGGGGTGATTTATATACACTTTGCAGGTACTCTGCCCAGGGAGCTTAGGCGTAAGTTGTATTACATGGCCTCTCCTTCCTTCCAGATAGTTCTTGTGAGAAGCATAAGGGATTCAAGCTGGAGACTTGCTATACTATGGGCATTGCTGGCTGTGTGCCTGGGAGTGATGACTTGAGAGTGCTCTGGCATCACTGTACATGCAACAATGCTGGGGGCATGTCCTTGTTGTGGACTCTTTTGTCGGCAGTACATCTCCTGATTGTTGAGCATTCACAGTCCATTGAGGGTTGCTGGGGCACTGCCTGCTATTTCATACCACTTTTCTATGTTTTGTGTTTCCCTCCTTCTGTACCAAACTGAGCAAACTGCTTATTCTTTAAGAGAGATGCTTAGCAGAAAAAATGTCTGGATAACCTAACCAAGCAACAAGCAGTCTGTGCTCCTCGTATTATTAAATCATGAGCAGCAGAGTAACGATGCAGTAAGCTTTTGAATCAAGAGTTTCCTCCAGTGGTTTTAAGGTCTGCTGATTTGTTCTCAATGCTTCAGAAATCAGAGAGCGTTATAGAACTAGACAGGAAGCTTATAAACACTGTGGCTTTTTCCCAAGAGGTGGCAGCAACTTCAAAATTAGTCCCTTGCGTATTCAGAGGAAATAAGAGTGAGTATTACTTTTCATCTTCGTTAAGGACACTTATGTCAGCAATTGCAATCTAATAAAAACCTACGGGGTTGGGTGTTGTTTTTTTAGAACGGGGGAAATTATTTTTTTATCTAGTGTTTTATCTTCACATCAGCGATTTGCATAATGAGGGGTAGTGACCCTATTTTATTGCAAGGGTTGGCTAACTGAACTTAGTTTAAAGGATTTAATTGTTCATTGCTATTATCATTAGTGCAATGGTTTTTTTAAAAAAATTAAATAGCTTTATATAAAAAACATTGATTGTAAGTCACTGTGTGGACAGACATCTTTTGAATGTCAGCATATACTTTAAAAAAACGAACCATGTGTGTCACCGTGAACTCCTTGGAGAAAAAGGTGGGGTATAAATGCAGAAAACGAATGAACGCTGAGATAAAATAAAATTATTTTAAGTACATACATAAGTCAACAAACACCCAGTGAGTTTAGTGGGACTTACTCACTGATTATATGTGCTTAGGCGTATCTGCCAGCGAAGAAAAAAGCGTTTACACACATCCAGAGTGAGGGGTGCGACTTCCACACGCCGCCCTTCGGCGCCTCTTTCTCCACCTCAACTGAGCACAGGCCGCCGCCGCCGCCTTTTTCCCGCTTCCCAGAAAACTCCCTCACCCGCCCTACCGGCCGTCACCCGGCAACATCCAATCAGCGCCTCGCCTGGAAAGCGCCAATAAGAACGTCTCGCGGCTGGCGTGGACTCGTCCTAGCTCTCCTAGCTCCCTCAAGCCCCGCCCGCCTCTTTTGCCTAGTCCCCGCCCCCTCCGCCTTCTCCCTTCAAAGAACACCACGTCTACAATTGACAACTCACCCGGAAGTTTCCGCTGCCGGAGCCCGGTCACTTCCGGGTCGTCGGCTCCGCTTCGTTCCCCTCCTTTTTTTTTTCTTCGGCCACGCCGCAGGTGGGAACCGGCTTACATCCGGCTCCCTTCGCAGGTGAGGTTGGGGTGCGACGCCCACCTTCGCTAGGCCTCGGCCGACGCTTTGATCTCACTTTCCTTTCTCGCTTCTCGCTTTTCAGTTCACCCTTCAGCGCTTGCGGCCGAGAAATGTTGCTGAGGAGCTGGCAGGGCCCCGGAGCCTCCCTGAGGTTGCCGGCTGCGGCGCTGCTGCTGCTGCTGCTGCTCAACCTGGGCTGGTCTGTCCGCGCCTCGGAGATCACCTTCGAGTTGCCAGATAACGCCAAGCAGTGCTTCTATGAGGAGATCGTGCAGGGCACCAAGTGTACCCTGGAGTTCCAGGTAAGGGCGCCTCGCACGCCAGACAGGCCCTTGTTTCTTGTGAGAGCTGTCTTTTAGTTGCCTGCCTTTGGGTTATTCTAGAATACCTCAGGTTAAGTACTTAATTCGTTCCGGAGGTCCGTTCTTAACCTGAAACTGTTCTTAACCTGAAGCACCACGTTAGCTAACGGGGCCTCGTGCTGCTGGAGCAGATTTCTGTTCTCATCCTGAAGCAAAGTTCTTAACCTGAAGCACTATTTCTGGGTCAGTGGAGTCTGTAACCTGAAGCGTCTGTAACCTGAGGTACCACTGTAAGTGCTTTGGTGTAATTAGAGGCAGGCACGCGTGGCGCTGTGGGTTAAACCACAGAAGCCTAGGACTTGCCAATCAGAAGGTCGGCGGTTCGAATCCCCGCAACGGGGCGAGCTCCCATTGCTCGGTCCCTGCTCCTGCCAACCTAGCAGTTCGAAAGCATGTCAAAGTGCAAGTAGATAATTAGGTACCACTCTGGCGGGAAGGTAAACGGTGTTTCCGTGCGCTGCTCTGGTTTGCCAGAAGCGGCTTAGTCATGTTGGCCACATGACCCGGAAGCTGTACGCCGGCTCCCTCTGCCAATAAAGCGAGGTGAGCGCCGCAACCCCAGAGTCGGCCACGACTGGACCTAATGGTCAGGGGTCCCTTTACCTTTACCTAGGCAGGCAATATTGTGATTTAAAATTACCCCCTAAAGCAGACACTGAAAAGCCAACGTGGAGCGGGGAGATCTACCTTCTTGTCTTCTTTTTTGCAGCTTTTTATGTTTAGGTTCCTGCATTGCAGGGAGTTGGGCTAGATAAGCCTTGGGGACCCTTCCAATTCTACAATTCTGTGTTCCTCAAATGAGGGGTGGGGTGGGGCACAAATAGGGAATTCTTCCCTTTCTGCTGCTGCTTGTAGAATGCCAACAGGTGGTTCAGGAACTCTTTTCCAGTTAACTTTGGTTTGGTTATTTCAGTTCTTGCATTTAATCTTCAAAGGATAATATAAATGTGTACAGTGGTACCTCGCAAGACGAATGCCTCGCAAGACAAAAAACTCGCTACACGAAAGGGTTTTTTGTTTTTTGAGCTGCTTTGCAAGACGATTTTCCCTATGGGCTTGCTTTGCAAGATGGAAACGTCTTGCAAGTTTGTTTCCTTTTTCTTAACACTGTTAATACAGTTGCGACTTGACTTCGAGGAGCAACTCATAGAACACGGTGTGGTAGCCTTTTTTGAGGTTTTTAAAGACTTTGGTGATTTTTGAAGCTTTTCCAAAACTTTCCCGACACCGTGCTTCGCAAGACGAAAAAAATCACAAGACGACAAAACTTGCGGAACGAATTAATTTCGTCTTGCGAGGCACCACTGTACTGATATCTTTCCTTGTGTGATGTTTCAGTATATCTCGTGTGTCTGTCTGTATCCACTCACTGTTTTATATTGTGCCTAAGGTTCTGTTTTATTTCTCTGTGTATGTTAATTTGTGAGTGCTCGGCCCTGAAAGGTAACTATTAAGCAATTGAAATTAAAAAAGTGGGAGATGTAATTGAAATAGTCAGATACTGTCTAAGATAACATGTTGAGATGTTTCAAAGTGAAGTTTGGTCCTCATGAGAGAAAAGAGAGGTCCAAGTTTATTTAAATGCTTGCATGAGTAAAGGGCATATAACACCAACTGCCTGTTGCAGTTTTCAGTTGGAGAATCACACAGTGACTCCTTGGATCTCTCTGGTGCAGCTGCATCTGTTCAAAAGTAAACGGTAGCAATTTTTTGGCTTCCAAACCATCAGATCTAGTGTCCTTCAATACTTGCACTATGCTGTGCATAGAAAAGAGAATAATATTAAATAAGTTTGAGTTAGGTTAAAGGAATGCAGTGTAACTTACAGGATGGAAAAATATATACAACCAATTGTTACTCACATGGCCCAGTAGAATGCATCAATTGTTGGCTGTAATCCAATGAGAACGTATGCGTTCTGGTGTGTTTCACACTTTCGACTACTTTCTGAAAACTAATGGGAAAGATTGCTACCATAGGTTATTTCTTTGTGTGCTGCCAAGGCAGAAACTTTAAAAGAATCAAGGAAGTTCAACATGTATTACTATTCCTGTTTTCTTTTTTAACAAGCAGAGACATTGGAATATAAAACCTAAAGCCAGATTGCTACATTACTCTGGCTACCACTTCTCTGCAAACTGGCAATGAGATGGAGCAGTGGACTCAGTAGTTAGGGGAGGGCTACTTAACCTTTAACCCCACTGCCCCCACTAGTGTTTCAGATTTTTGTTTCTGAAACATGAGAATGAAACCCAGGGGTAGTATGTCAAATAGTGTTTTCTGTTAAAGATGTTCACCAGGTGCGACCTAAAATGTCCAGCAATACATTTCTTTGCTACCCAGCCTGAATGGTGAATCATCTCATCGTTAAATGGAAACAAAGGGAGCATTCCTTATTATGCAATCAGGCAACACCAGTTCTGTGAAGCCACAGAACACTGACCTATTTGACAACTTTAGATTGCCATGCTACCTACTTCCTCATTCCTTCCACGCAGCAAGGTAGTACAGTGTTGTGCTTCTGCAAATCCCCCCACCGCTGTTTGGGTTGAGCAATTTTCGACCGTTATTCCCATATATCGAATTGACTTTACTGAGAGAATGTTTCAAATAAAGAAGGTTTAGGAGATGGTGTTAAAGCAGTAAAATAGGTACCATCTCACTGGTGTCTTCCACGCATAGCTATGTGGGGAATTAGTGTTATAAGTGGTCCCTTTTCTTGGCTCTCTTTATAGCTTAATACTCTTCCCATGCTGGAGCTGAACTGCCTTTAATAATTGTACCTGATGCTATGGGTTTCCCCCTTTCTTATGGAAGGATATTTTGCTAGGGAGGGTGATATGGCTGACTATTCCAAGTACCAGTTTTCTTTGTTCCATAGGTGATCACTGGAGGGCACTATGATGTTGACTGCCGCTTAGAAGATCCAGACGGTGTTGTGCTATACAAAGAGATGAAGAAACAATACGATAGCTTCACCTTTACCGCATCCAGAAATGGGACGTACAAGTTTTGTTTCAGCAACGAGTTTTCTACCTTTACACACAAAACAGTGTACTTCGACTTCCAGATTGGAGATGATCCGCCTCTGTTTCCTAGCGAAAACAGAGTTACTGCACTTACTCAGGTAGTTACACAACTGAGTATAAATATAAAGTTAGAATTTAATTCTCATACCACCAATTAGAATTTTGAGTTTTGCTGCCTTTGGAAGACTTGGGCATTTCTCATAGCTTTACAATGCATTCCTAAGCCAAAGCTATTCAAAAGTAAGTCCTTTTGAATTTAATGGCGCTTATTTCCAGGTAAGTAGTTTTAGGATTCTGCAGCCTTAGTTATTCAACTGCTCCACTAGCAAATAGTTGCTGTTTTTTGTCCCAGCAAGAGGGTGAGGAGTTGGACCACTGGGGTAGGAAAGAAATTGCTGCATGATATCAACATACCCTAGTGCTACTCAAGAAATATTTACTGTGCACAAAGTAGTCAGCCAGCCTACATGATACAAATAAGTATATGATGTCTTTATTTCTGAAGGCTTTCTGTCTTCACATAAAATCAAAACCTACATATTCAAATGTGGATAATATAATCAGATCAGCCGTAGTTGATAGCTAAAAGCTGAAAACGCTGGCAGCATTAAGATAAAATCAACAGTGTAATTAATTTTGAGTGGTGTAAAAATGGAGAACTGATTAAAATGGTTATACAGTAGTAAAATATGCAGGAACGAAAGACAAACAAAATGAACCATGGAAGGAGAAGGAGGGAAGTCGTTGGGATATTTAACAGTATGTAAAATGTTTATTTTGAGATGTATAATTAAAATCTTAATAAAAATAGTTATATAAAATGAAGCTTAATGAGCTGAAAATGCAAAATCCTGTATACCTTTTTCAATAAAGAGTACTCATCAGTCCTCTTTCTTTCTGTATCTAGATGGAGTCGGCATGTGTTTCGATTCATGAAGCTCTAAAATCTGTCATAGATTCCCAGACTCATTTTCGGTTGAGAGAAGCACAAGGCCGCAGCAGAGCAGAAGACTTAAACACACGGGTGGCTTATTGGTCAGTAGGAGAAGCCATCATTCTTCTTGTAGTTAGCATTGGGCAGGTATTTCTTCTCAAGAGCTTCTTCTCAGACAAAAGAACCACCACAACTCGTGTTGGATCATAACTCATGTTGAGAACATGAGTTTGTAAAACCCACTGTTTGTAAAAATATATATGTATATATACTGTTCTTCAAATAATTTCTAGTTACAAAGCAATGAAACATGGGGAACATTTTTAAGTACCTTTGCCCTTCTTAAAGTTGCAAAACACATGCTCCCTAAAAGCTGTGGGAGAAAATAGCTTTTAATGTGTGATATATTGGTTTTCTCCTTCTGCTGATATGGGCTGAGACATCTAAATTAAGGTTGCTTTTTAAAACAAAAATAAAAAACAACCTTTGAGACTACTTGGTAGGAGCACAGTGCTTTCAAGAAAATTCTTTGAATGATGATTTAGAAGATTGTCCATATTAAAAATGCGTGGCATTCAGATTTTTTTCAAGTTTGAAAAGTGGGGGAATATAAAGAAAAACAAATGTGGTTAACTATTGTCTCAGAGCCTTGTACTACACTGTTGTGATTTGCTATGGAAACTGGTCTCATTTTCTTGCAGAACCATTTCTGGGGTGGGGCGGGGGGAAGAATGTGTGTCTTTTTACAGTACTAAATTTTAGGCTGAGAATTCCAGGGCAACCAGTTCTCTGTACAATGGAAAAAGCTGTGTGGGTTGTTATTTTTTGAATTTATCTTTTTAAATTAAACAAATGAGGAGACTGTCTTGTAATTCTAGAAGCTGGGTCTTTGAGCTTGTGGAGCTGCTTCATTTTTTTGAAGATCTAAAAGAGCACAGGCTGTGTCACAAATAATCTATAGTCTGTCAGTACCACTTGGAAACCAGAAGAGTAAACTAAAGTGCACTGGGTTTAATATCTTGTCTTGTAATCTCTTTACTACTTGGGCAGTCCCATGAGACCACGTTGGCCTAAATGGTTTGAGAATTGTAACCTAAAATAAGTGGCTTATCAAGCAACATATGCACAGTGCTGGACATGATTGTATGACACCTGTGAAAGCTTATTACATTTGCCTATTAAAGAATCTAAATAATATTTTTTTGAAAAACTATTCTGGGTGTAATACAGTAATGTGTTGCCTTGTCCTTGCTTCTACCACTTTGGGGTTAGAGGGCTGCATTGAGGTTCATGGGAGTTAGTTGCCAAATAGCTGGTATCCTTTGTGTATGCCTAATAGAGAACATCTTGCATACTCCTGTATGTGTGCAAGGTTGCTTGAAACAACAGTAAAATGTGCAATCAAAGTATAAGTAACATTATTACCCCAATCATACAACACATCTATTTGAAAGTAATAGACCAGAATTTGCTTCCATGTATTTATATTTTCTATTGGAGAATAAGGTTTGTTAGAAAGGATAAAGATACGTGATTCCCAGTGTTTGTAAGCATATGAATACCACTAAGCTCAAAAGCTTACAAGCACAAAAATCTTATCTGTGTCGAATTGCCCTCTTATATAATGTTGACTCCCTCTACTTTACCATTGTAGATGTTAAGATATCAATCTTGGAAAAATACATGACAAAATCTCCTGTCTTTTAATGCTCTGTAAGAACAAAGACTATTGTCTTGAGTTTAAATGCTGATGTGGTATTAAAGGGAGGTGTGGATGTGATCTTAACACTGAGTGGTTCAACATCCAGTTTTTTAAGCTTCTTAGTTTGGTTAGTTACTGAAGCTGTTTGAAATGTCTACTTCACTACCACATAGTGTGCGGGTATAGCTTTTTAGATACAACATTGATTGTGTATTAGTAGCAAGGAAGATCTCAGCGCTGTACTGGTTAAAGTCCTGCAGAAATAACTTGGTGTACAGTGTTTTGTCTCCCACTTGAGCTTGAGTAAAATAAATTTCTTGACTGTACTTGTCTATTTCTTGCATCAAAACTCTACAATACTCTATTTCTGAAGACAGGCATCCTGAATACAGTTTTCATAATAGAACGCTGACTCATGCTGAAATCCAGCAATTGCTACAGTTGCTACTGCATGTTAGTGAAACATATGTAAGAAACCCACACAGTGGAACAAACAAAGACTGTTTGCAGGATCTGGTTGTAAATTGGGTGGAATCTTACAAAAATATATCTGTTGAAAACACAGTATGATACCCTTGTAAGTAGGCCAGCTGAGATCATTTCAGCCCCAAATACTTGGTCCAGAAATGAGCCATTTACAACCACCTTGTTAACATGCACAGGATAGATGAATTTGGATAGTAGTCATCTAAAAATACTACAGTATTTATAAGTCTGCTATCTCCTGCTCTCTGATGTAACCATGTGGTCTGAGTCTACACATGACTGCTGCCTAATACACTTGCAGGTGCTCTTAAAAGGTAAAGGTACCCCTGCCCGTACGCGCCAGTCTTGACAGACTCTAGGGTTGTGCGCTCATCTCACTCTAGAGGCCGGGAGCCAGCGCTGTCCGCAGACACTTCCGGGTCACGTGGCCAGCGTGACGAAGCTGCCCTGGCGAACCAGAGCAGCACACGGAAACGCCATTTACCTTCCCGCTATAAAGTGGTACCTATTTATCTACTTGCACTTAAGGGTGCTTTCGAACTGCTAGGTGGGCAGGAGCTGGGACCGAACGACGGGAGCTCACCCCACCGCGGGGATTCGAACCGCCGACCATGCGATCGGCAAGTCCTAGGCGCTGAGGTTTTACCCACAGCGCCACCCGCGTCCCATCTGCAGGTGCTCTTACCTAATAATAATTCAACAGCACTTGTGCTGCAGTTTCCACAGCAGGTTCAAGGTGAGCCCCACATTGAATTACTGTAACAAATCCTATCTTGAAGCCACTTGTTGACATCCATTCATCTTGTGATACCACGGAGTACGCCTCCAGGAGTTACGGTAAGTCAAATCACTGCATTAGCAGCACCAAAGTGACCACAAGCCTGGCCAGTGTGTATGGAAGTCCTGGCTTGTCTAGATGATAACACCTCCCTTTCAGCCTCGCTGATGTGGTCGAAAGGAAAGCGCAGCAATACGTTTTGTGCCGGTTTGGCTGCAGGAGTTGCTAGAAAAATGTGTACAAGGCACCATCCAACCCTATTGGAGACTCCACTCCAAATTTGTGTAGCGGAGGTTTAGCATCAGAGTTTTTCTTCTCCTAGATGGGCTACCTTGCTAGGTTGATGAACCCTATCTGCCCCTTACTTCCCTCTACAAGCACGTGCAGAAACTGCTTTCTTAACCATTGGACCCACTATTGGCCTCATCCGCTCAGTTGACCAGAGCCTGTCTTTGGATGCAGGAGAAGTCCCTAAGATTTGAGACCCATCAGCTGTCCTCAACTGGTTTAGCTGGCTAGTCTGGACCCAACCAGTCAAATCTGCTTTGCTAAATATAAGCAAAGAGGGAAAGAGGTCAAGACATGTGATCAGGTATACAGCCAGAAGCACTCTGAGCCCATCATCAGGTCATATAAGCTGAAACCGATCTCTTGGAACTGCAGCAACCCATCACTTGGAACTGCAGCAACAGCAGAGGCAAGGTCACTCTGTAGTTGGCCATCTTGATTCTCAAAATGTCCAGCCAGTTAGTCACGGCAGCTCACTGAAGGCTCCAAGAGTCCTTCCCTCTATGGCAGTGGTTTTCAACCAGAGTGCCATGGCACCCTGGGGTGCCTTGAACCATGGTCAGGGTTGCAACGGGCAACACTGGCCTCTGTCCCTCTTTCTTTCCTTCCCTCCCTTCTGACACCCTCTCGTGTCTCTACCTCCCAAAGGCTTGCACAGCCTTTTGTTGCAGCAGCCCTGGTTACAATGTGCTCCCCAGGTGAATGGTGCCTCTGGGGCTGGCCAAGGGGTGCTGGTTGCCAGGAGCTGAGGTGGCCTTGGAGTAAGCAAGCAAGCAGGCAAGGGAACCCAGCCAGCCAGTCCGTCAGCCCTTGCTGTTGGGAATGGATAGACAAGTGGGAGGCTGGGCAGGCAGGCAGGCACTGCGCTGGCCTTTCTTGTGCTTGCTGTGTGCAAGGCCTGCCTGGGAGCTGAGTGCCCAGTGCTGAAGGAGAGCCCGGCAGCACCCGCAGCTGCCTCCCAAGGCAGGGACGCGGACTTATAAAAAATATTGGGGGGGCCTGGGAAAGCTCATGAATAATAAATAAGCTCATGAATATGCAAATAAAGTGGTGCCGCCTCCTCGTGAGCGAATAGGGGAGAGCGTGCTGCGCCTATTAATCAGCTCCAAAGGAAATTGGGTGGAGCTTTTGCTCGGGAGGGAGGGCAGGAGGCATGCAGCCCGCCCCTCCCTGTGCATTTTGGGCTGGGGGAGGGGCGGCGATGGCGCTCTGCTGGAGGGGCGCCGGAGATTATTGGGGGGGCGGAGCCCCCCCAAACGAATTTTTGAGGGGGCTCGGGCCCCCTCAAGCCCCATGGAGTCGGCGCCTATGTCCCAAGGTAAGGTGAAGGCCTCACGTTTGTCCAGTCTCTGTTAGGTCACTAAGGCTGGGGGAATCCTCTTCCCAGGCCACTAGGAGGCGGTGTGAGGAGGCACCTCTCTTTTGTGTGGGAAGGGCAGCTCAGAGACCAGGGACAATGGTAGCTACTGCCCAGAGGACTCCCAAGGGAGAGAGGCGGAGGGAACACTCCATAAAGCATGAGGGGCTGCCGGCTCTGTAGGCAAGGGGTGACATAACTGGCTCCTGAGTCCCACAGGAGTGCCTCAGAAAGAAAGTAGTTGCTCAAGGGAGCCATGGGCTCAAAAATGTTGAAAACCTCTGCTGTATGGGAAATACATGGGAAAGTATTGTACAGTGGTACCTTGGTTCCCGAATGGCTTAGTTGTTGAACAAATCATCCCGAACGCTGCAAACCCAGAAGTGTTCCAGTTTGCAAATGTTTTTCAGAAGCCGAACGTCCAACGTGGCTTCTGTGGCTTCCAATTGAGTGTAGGAAGCTCCTGCAGGCAATCAGAAGATGCGCCTTGGTTATCGAACAGTTTCAGGAGTCAAACGGACTCCCAGAATGGATTAAGTTCAAGAACCAAGGTACCACTGTATAGGGGACGAAATTCCACAATCTAGGGGCTGCCACCACTGAAATGAGGGTGGCAGAGCTACCAATATCTTAGTACCCAAGAAGTCTGTAGAGAAGGAGGCAGTCTCATAGGTATTTGGACTGTAAGTCATTTAGGGCTTTAGAAGAAGAAGAAAAAGAGTTTGGATTTGATATCCCGCCTTTCACTCCCTTTAAGGAGTCTCAAAGCGGCTAACATTCTCCTTTCCCTTCCTCCCCCACAACAAACACTCTGTGAGGTGAGTGGGGCTGAGAGACTTCAAAGACGTGTGACTGGCCCAAGGTCACCCAGCAGCTGCATGTGGAGGAGCGGAGACGCGAACCCGGTTCCCCAGATTACGAGACTACCGCTCTTAACCACTACACCACACTGGCTTTAAACACCAGTTTGAGCACCTGAAATTGTGCCCTGAAATGAACTGGCAGCCAATGCATCTGTTTTAGAACAGGGGAACCCCACCAGTAATCTGGCTGCTGTGTTTGAAGCCAATTGGAGGTTTCCAAGTCATCTTCAACTGCAGCCCAATGTAGACAACGTTACAATAATCTATGAGACTTACTTGATCCCTAAAAGGTTTCCAAACAACTTATATTTAAAAACATACACTGCATATCCTATCAGATAGCATGCAAGAGCATTTTAGCAGTCATCTGCAGTGGTGGGATCAGTTGCACCTGAGTAAGAGTAGTGTGACTCAAAATGTGTTGGGTTTACTGCTCTTGGTACACCTTTGAAAACTCCTCTTTGTCATCCATTCCAGCACGTCCTATCTTTCCTTCCTAGAACTAAAAATGAACTGATTTCAGCATCAGTTGACAGCTTTCATTTCCAATGGCTTTCCCTCACATTAGTAAAGGTAAAGGTACCCCTGCCCGTACGGGCCAGTCTTGTCAGACTCTAGGGTTGTGCGCTCATCTCACTTAAGAGGCCGGGAGCCAGCGTTGTCCGCAGACACTTCCGGGTCACATGGCCAGCGTGACATCGCTGCTCTGGCGAGCCTGCACCAGCGCAGCACACGGAAACGCCATTTACCTTCCCGCTATAAAGTGGTACCTATTTATCTACTTGCACTTAAGGGTGCTTTCGAACTGCTAGGTGGGCAGGAGCTGGGACCGAACGACGGGAGCTCACCCCACCGCGGGGATTCGAACCGCCGACCATGCGATCGGCAAGTCCTAGGCGCTGAGGTTTTACCCACAGCGCCACCCGCGTCCCATCTGCAGGTGCTCTTACCTAATAATAATTCAACAGCACTTGTGCTGCAGTTTCCACAGCAGGTTCAAGGTGAGCCCCACATTGAATTACTGTAACAAATCCTATCTTGAAGCCACTTGTTGACATCCATTCATCTTGTGATACCACGGAGTACGCCTCCAGGAGTTACGGTAAGTCAAATCACTGCATTAGCAGCACCAAAGTGACCACAAGCCTGGCCAGTGTGTATGGAAGTCCTGGCTTGTCTAGATGATAACACCTCCCTTTCAGCCTCGCTGATGTGGTCGAAAGGAAAGCGCAGCAATACGTTTTGTGCCGGTTTGGCTGCAGGAGTTGCTAGAAAAATGTGTACAAGGCACCATCCAACCCTATTGGAGACTCCACTCCAAATTTGTGTAGCGGAGGTTTAGCATCAGAGTTTTTCTTCTCCTAGATGGGCTACCTTGCTAGGTTGATGAACCCTATCTGCCCCTTACTTCCCTCTACAAGCACGTGCAGAAACTGCTTTCTTAACCATTGGACCCACTATTGGCCTCATCCGCTCAGTTGACCAGAGCCTGTCTTTGGATGCAGGAGAAGTCCCTAAGATTTGAGACCCATCAGCTGTCCTCAACTGGTTTAG